CTACCTTAGCTCCTCACAAATGATTTTCTAACAAATTCACTAATTTGTTCTTTCTTTTTGAGGACAAAGAGTAACCTTTACAACTCCCTAGCTTTTGACGGGCTCAGCTAGAACCAATCCCTATCTTTTCACTTGGCTAAGATAAAATCAACCCTTTTATAAAATGATAAAAAGAACTAAATAAATAAACCTCTCTAAGGTATGTGTTTACAAGAATTAAACTCACAAGAATAAAATATTTACAAGAGAATATAAAATTAAGAATGAAAAACTCTTTTCTTGTGTTTGATTGGTTAGATAGGTGTTCTCTACCTTCTTCAAGTGTCTTGAACTTGTATTTATAGGTTGAAATGAGTTTGAAGTCGTATCTAGTTGTTGGGGATGTTTTAGAGCTGTTGGGGATTCATTTTCTACAAAATAAGGGTGTCTAATACATGAAGTATCGGTACTCCAATATGGGGTATCGATACTACCTTTGTTAATTTCAAATTAACTAGTCGTTTCTAGTCGTTGGAGCCTTGTAGTATCGATACTGTCCAAGGAGTATCGATACTACTTTGCACTATGGTATCGATACCATGCATTGTATCGATACCATTTCATGATTCTGGAATTTGAGCCTTCATGGTAGTATCGATACTACCAAGTTGGTATCAGTACTACTCTTGCCTATAGTATCGATAGTACAAGAATAATATCGGTACCGTTCATGTGGTATCGATACTGCAAGGAACAATATCGATACTACTTTGTACAAAAATCATTTTTGTGCTCAAGTCTAATTTAAAATGGACTTTGAATTATTTTTGAAAACTTTGAATAAATTCAATTCAAGTCCAAAAATATTGTCATAAATTGTTATATCAAAACATAATTCAACATCCTGTTTCAAATAGTCCTTCTTGGGATTAAGACAAGGCATTGAGCCATCATTTTCGGGTACTATTGCCATGCCTTGAGTTTTATCCTAACGATACGATTTCGTGTGAATTTAAAAGTCGTGTAAAACTCAAAGATTAGTTCGTAATAAATGTTACATCGGATATGAGAGTACGGAGTCCAGCCAATGGCATCGAAATAGTGTGCGACAACATCGCTCAAATGCAAAATATCAAGTGTACGTGATCGGATATATTTGCATACCTGAAATCGTTGATGGTGAATGTTGTTGAATCGTAACGCTTTGTCACCATTGAAATCGAGATATCTTTGTATCACCTCCTCAACCAGAACTGAGTATGTTCGACCACAGTGATTGCGCTCGTCGAAGGGGTCGAACATGTCATCCCCCACGTCATCAGATTCATCCAAATATAAGGGCGAGTGAGGAGCATGTTACTGCCCAAAAAAATGGATAAAATGAAGAGGAGTGCTTGAGCGCTTGTGATGGCTTCAGGCTCAACTACGGTGGAACACCGGATTGAAATGAAAAATCGTTTCATAAGTCTTCAAAATAGTCGAACACGGGGTGCCACATCATCAAAGGCTCGATATTGATAGGCTCAGAGTTAACTTCAGGTTGATCGGCAGTGGCAAAATACGCGACATACAACAATGCAACATCCGACATCGATTGAGAGTGAGATGTCGATGGTGTCGTATAAAAAGTTCAAGTAGCCGATAATGAAGCATGGTTTAGTTGTGCTCTTGATGGTCCAACAACGCTTTGCGGTGGCACAAAAAATTCAGTGGAATCATGATCGACAGTGGCAGACAGTAACGGCTCATGCACGTTAATCAGTTCCAGAGTAGGTGAACGAGTGAGTAGAAGTGATGCGCGATGTCCACCACGTCACGCAGCAGGGGAACGGGGCGGTGATGGTTATGACAGTTAAGAGTTTGAGCCACCTGTAACCTCCACCACGAGTGACTTAGCAAACCACCAGCGTCCTCCACCGAGAGTGATGGGCGGTCGAGACGAGTTTCCACTTTGATTCATTGTTCGAACCATTTTGAAAAGCAAATGTTACATGAGAAAGAATATAGAAAAGAGTAGGGGAACTAACCTTTGAACAACGATGACGATCAGTGGTAGAGCAAAAGTGGAGCAATGACCGTGATGAACGATCGGTCGAAGCTCGAGTTAGGAAGGTTGCGTGATCGAGTATGAAAATGAAATAGTTTTTTTTTTGCTTTTGTGGTTTCACGTGAGAAATAAAAGAGAACTGTTTAAAAATATATTTTTAATTGGGTCAAAGGATAAAGTCAGGTCGAGTTTGAAAATTGAAAAGTGATAAGGGAAGGAGTTTGAAAGTGATAGGAGAGGTTGGGCGGCTGAAAGAAAATAAAAGTGTAGGATATTGGATTTTAGGGGGAAACCATGTGGGGTAGGCGACAAAGAAATGAGATATGGGTGGGGTTCAGTTATGGTGCGTCAGCCTCATGAATGGGTGTTAATGTGCACCCAATTAAATGAAACGGTGAGTTTCATTATATTGGGTAAAAATTCAACCCTTTGCCCGATTTTATATGCTTCATTTATGCGTGAACTTGGCTACTCCAAGTTACAAAATTTGGTTGTTGCCGAGCGTATTTGTCATGCCCCAGGTTCAACTTTTATCGATTATTTACTATCGGTTTGGATGACTCTCGACTTTTGCTTGTTTAAAATTCAAGATCGAATAACGAGGTACCTACAAAAATCAAAAATCAAAAATTAAAAACGAACAAAATTAAAGTTGAAAATAAAAATAAAATTTTAAATAAATTAAAATGAATATGGGTTGCCTCCCATAAAGCGTTGTTTTTAACTTCGTTACCTTAACAACCTATTTCAGACTACAAGTTCCGCGAAAAACATTTTCACTTCATTCATTTCTTCCAACTAAGAAACTCCTTATAAGAAATTTGAATATTCTTGTAATACCCCGAATCCTGGGTCAATAGTTTTGGTCAAACCAAAGCCCGTAAGTAGAGCCCATTAGATTTCTTAGAATAGTTCATAAGAGTATTGGGCTTAAGTTTGGCCCAAAGGATAATCCATGCGGTGAAATTAAAATGGGTTTGAAAAGAGAATGACCTAAAGTGTAGTTTACCTATTTTGTTGAAGCTAGAATATTTTCCCTCTCATTTTATTTCATTTCACGTAAACCAAACCCCCATATTATCTTACAAAACCATCTTTTTGTTCATTCCATTAGTTTTCATTTCTTATTCCTTTCAAAAGCCAAGTTTTAAGCATTCAAAGCTTAGTTTGTTGTAGCCAAGGTAAGAATGTTTCTCTCTATTTTTCAAACTTTGCTTTAAGCTCCATTTTGTAAGTTTTAGAATTAGTTTTCAAAATGGGTTTTATGGAGGTTTAAGGGGATCCTTGAATCCAAACTTTGTTTTAGTGTATTCAAGTTACCTAGAGCACATTTGCCTTTAATCCAAGAGCTTAGTTGGTCTAGTAAACCCTTTTTTACCCTTATTTAGTAAAGAATGTGGGGGGAAACTCAAAATCAGGATGGAAAGAGAAGTTGACCCTTGGTTAACTTGAGAGAGTTTCTAGCAAGCAAGAAGCAAGGTAACACACTCTCAACATTTTCATACTCCTAGTGGTTATTAGAAATAAGTTCTATCTTGAGAATAAGTTATGAAGCCTTCTTTTTTATCTTTACTTCAAACATAAAACATTAAAAATGATTGAGGCCCTCTTAGGGTCTTTGGGATATGAAAAAAATAGAGTTTTCGTGCTTAAGTGGTACTTTATGCAGGTTGGGTCTCGATACTAGATGGCCAGTATCGAGAGTATCGATACTATTTCAAGAGTATCGATACTTTGGTCATGGTCTCGAGACTCCTAGGATTGGTATCGAGACCAAAATTCCAGTGATCTTTAAAGTATTGGTACTTCTATATATTATCGAAACTATTCTAGGGGCATCGATACTAAAGGGCCAATACCGATACCAACAATCTATTTTGGGCAAGAAAGTCAGTTTTTAAGGGAATTAGACTCGAGGTACCCAACACTTCAGTATTATATCAAAGAAGACTACAAGTGAGAATATAATTATTGATTAATTCAAACAGAGAAACAAGAATAAATTATAATCAAATAAGACTGACCTTGTTTGAATACTCGGGAAACGACCAGGACACCCGAGTTCCTTTAGAAAAACTACCAGATTCAAAAGTATAGATACAATCCGGATATATATTTAATAAGTACGTAAGGCACTTTAAGCTGACTAGTTTAGGCGCAAGGTCCGAAACTCAATGAGGGTGTGGTCTCTAATGCAGAGATTCTGAGGGCCATATTCTCGGTAGACTAGAAAGATGTGTGATATCCGAGATGTAGAACCCTCAGCCACATCATGATGTCTACCATAGAGTAGAGAGTGAGTATACAAGTATACTAATTAAAGGAAAGTAGAGAAAAATAGTAGACTTGATAGAAAAGTAGTAGACTAGAAAGTATGTGCCTTTCAGTAATGCACTATCAATATGTTTTAGTTGCTAGTGTAGCACTGAGCTAGTTAAATCAACCTTCAGATGTTTCCGTGGATAGGTTAGTAGATCGAGTGGTTGAGGAGCAGTATAGGGATCAAGGTCCAGACCCAGTGTAGATTCAAAGTATGTCTCATCATTTTTGAAGGACATGTATATTTTATAAACTCTATTGTATCAGTCGAGTCATAAATTTCATTAAAAGTTGGTATGTATTATTTTTTGATGTAAATATTTTATTTTGGAGCTCCTAATTTAAAGTTTTTATTATATTTTATGGGTAATTTGATTATAAATGTGGTTGTTTTAAAGTTCAGGAAAGTAAGAAAAAGGTTGTCAGCCACTTCGGTGGTTCCGTGTAACATTATGAATCGGTCGACTGTATGTTGTACTAGTCTAGGGTATTACATTTAGTGATATCATAGCATCATGTTTGACGTTCTTAGGGTTTACGGGTCAGTGTCAGTAAAGAGTTTATGAGTATACATGCCTAAAAAGTTATTTTATACTTCTGTAATTATAATAGTAGTAGTAATCCCTCTTTTTCCTCTTAATCTTATATTTTAGAGATGGATGAGAGCCCATATCACAGTAGAGAGGATAGAAACGAGAGTAGAATTTCCTTAGCAAGTGATCTGGGAGATGAGTTCGTCCCAAACACAGAGTTTGAAGAGCCCGAAGGTGAGGGGGTAGATGAGGCAAACTTCTTTAGAAATTTGACCGCTACCATGTATCGTATAGCTAGAGCCCTTCCTAGAACGCCTGCTACCCCACCTGTTTAGCCAAACCAGCCAGTTCCTCCAGTTGTAACACCTCAAAAAACCCTAGTAGAGAGGCTCTGGAGGTATCAGACCACTGAGTTCTTTGGGTCAGGGGATGATGATCTAGTAGTATCCGATTAGTGGTTAAGAGAAACCATTAGGACTCTTCGTCAGCTATATCTCATCCCCGAGGGAAAGTTGGAGTGCGCCATCTCCCTGCTAAAAGGTGATGTGATAGATTGGTGAGAGACTGTTGAGATGTCTTTAGGGCCCGAGTGACCCAATTGGGATCGATTTTTAGAGAAGTTCCGCCAGAAGTATGTTGAAGAAGCCCACATGGATGCTATAATGGATCAGTTTGATTAGGTGACTCAAGGGAACAGATTGGTATTCGAGTATAAGGTAAAGTTCATTCGGTTGAGTAGATATGTCCAAGAGTTGGTTTCATCAAATTATCATTGCTGTAAAAAGTTTAGAGATGGTTTATGACTAGACATCCTCACTCATTTGGCCGCTAATCCACCGCGAGTTTTTACTAAGCTATTTCGTCAAGAAAAGATGGTAGAGAGAGTTGTGAGAAGGAGAGCAATAAAAGAATGTGCTATTTATGATCAGGGTAGAGAAGTGGTCGAGTCAGAAAAACCAACCCAACCATCTAAAAGGTCGAGAAAATCTCAGAAGCCTTAAAAAACTCCACCATGCCAGACTAGTCGACCAACACAGAGTGCGAGTAGGGGTGGAAGTAGGTCCAGTCAGCATAGGAGGTCATTATTTACCACACCAGTAGCTAGTACTAGAGGATCGTTGATAGCGCATTCTCTGCCTATTTGTTCTATCTGTGGTATGAGGCACTCAGGAGTTTGCAGATTTGGGTCCAAAGGTTGTTACCATTGTGGGTCTATGGATCATTTTCTCTGAGATTGCCCAAAGGCTCAGGATGTAGCTCCAGCATTGTCCCAGCAGACAGCTCCATCAGTTCAAAGAGGCGGAGAGTTTGAGAGAGGAGAGAGTTCTTCTGGTCAGACTGATAGAGGTACAATTCAGCCCAGAGCTAGTATGGAGCACAGAGTTGTAGCCCGTTAGTTTACGATCAGAGATATAAAGAATGATGATGCAACTGATGAGATTTCAGGTAACCTTACTTTCCTATTCCAGTAACCGTCCTAGTTGAAACAGTGTCCAACCCTTAGAATTAAATGTCTCAGTGGTTGAGATTAGTCGTAGATGCCTACTCAAAATTTCAGGGATGAAATTTCTTATTAGGAAGGGATAGTTGTAATACTCCGAATCCTGGATCAGTAGTTTTGGTCAAACCGAAGCTTGTAAGTAGATTCCATTAGATTTCCTAAACTAGTTCATAAGAGTATTGGGCTTAAGTTTGGCCCAAAGACTAAGGAAATTGGTGAAATTAAAATGGGTTTGAAAAGAGATTGACCTAAAGTGTAGTTTACCCATTTTGTTGAAGCTGAAATCTTTTCCCCTCATTTTATATCATTTCACGTAAACCAAACCATCTTCTTTTTCCTTCCATTGGTTTCCATTTATTCTTCCTTTCAAAAGCCAAGTTTTAAGCATTCAAAGCTTAGTTTTTTGTATCCAAGGTAAGAATGTTTCTCTCTATCCTTCAGGCTTTGTTTTAAGCTCCATTTTTTAAGTTTTAGAATTAGCTTTCAAATTGGGTTTTATGGAGGTTTAAGGGGATCCTTGAATCCAAGCTTTGTTTCAGTTTATTCAAGTTACCTAGAGCATCTTTGCCTTTAATCCAAGAGCTTAGTTGGTTTAGTAAACCATTTTTTTACCTTTGTTTAGTAAAGGAGATAAAGGAAAACTCAAAATCAAGAGGGAAAGAGAAATTGACCCTTGGTTGACTTGAAAGAGTTTCTAACAAGTAAAAAGCAATGTAACACACTCTCAACTCTTTCATACTCCTAGTGGTTATTTGAAATGAGTTCTAGCTTGAGAATAAGTTATAAAGCTTAGTGTTACATGATCATGGTAGAATTCATGTTTTGATGTTTAAGCATGTTATAAATCCTTCTTTATGATCTTTACTTCATACATAAAATATTAAAAATGATTGGGGACCTCTTAGGGTCTTTGGGATATGAAAAATAGAGTTTTGTGCTTAAGTGGTACTTTATGCAGGTTGGGTCTCGATACTAGAGGGCCAATATTGTGATTGTTCTTCATTTTCTGGGCAAAATCATGTTTTATGGGTATGAGTATCGATACTCTTTCAAGACTATCTATACTTTAGGTCATGGTCTCGAGACTCCTAGGCTTGGTATCGAGACCGAAATTCCAGTGATCTTTAAAGTATCAGTACTTTCATAGAGTATCTAAACTATTCTAAGGGTATCGATACTGAAGGGTCAGTATCGATATCAATAGTCTATTTTCGGCAAGAAAATCAATTTTTAAGGGAATTAGACTCGAGGTACCCAATACTTCAGTGTTATATCAAATAAGACTACAAGTGAGAACATAATTATTGATTAATTCAAATGTAGAAACAAGAAAAAAGTAGGGTTAAATAAGAATGACCTTGTTTGAATACTCGGGAAACGACTAGGACACCCAAGTTCCTTTAGAAAAGCTAGCAGAGTAAAAAATATAGATGCATTCAGGATATATCCTTAGGGAGTGCATAAGGAACTTTAAGCTGACTAGTTTGGGCGCAAGGTCCGACACTCAAAGAGTAGGCTAGTCGAGGGTGTGGTGTCGGATACAGAGATTTCGAATGTCATATTATCAGTAGAATAGAGGGGTACGTGAGCTCTGATATGCAGAACCCTCAGCCACGTCATGATGGCTGCCATAGAGTAGAGAGTGAGTATACAAGTATACTGTCTAAAACAAAGCATAACAAAATAGTAGACTTGATAGAAAAGTAGTAGACTTGGTAGCATGAGCCTTTCAATAATGCACTATCAGTATGTTTTAGTTGTTAGTGTGGCGTTGAGCTAGTTAACTTAGCCTTCGGATGTTTTTGTGGGCATGTTAGTAGATCGAGCAGTCGAGGAGCAGTATATGGATCAAGGTCCAGACCCAGTGTAGATTCAGAGTATGTCTCAACATTTTTGAAGGGCATGTATATTTTATAAACCCTATTATTAGTTGAGTCATAAATTTTATTAAAAGTCGATCTATATTATTTTTTGGTGTAAATATTTTATTTTGGAGCTCCTCAGTTTAAAGTTTTTATTATATTTTATGGGTAATCTAATTATAAATGTGGTTGTTTTAAAGTTTAGGAAAGTAAGAAAAAGTTGGTCAGTCACTTCAGTGGTTCCGTGTAACATCATGAATCGGTCGACTGTGTGTCGTACTGGTCTAGGGTGTTACAATTCTCATAAAGATTTCTTTTGATCTTTTTCGAAATAATGGACGCCAATACATCTCATTTACCAAAAATTAGTTTCTTCAAACGATCCCATGACAATTTTGACTTTATTTTTGCCACCTGCAAAAGGGAGAGTAAAACTTTAGACTCAGATTAAACTAGGTGCAAACCAGATTCTTTAGAAAAAACATTTTTTTAACTATTTGAATTTGTCTTTTTTATCTTTTGATTTCCTGTATAAATTATCAGAAAAATCAACTACATGTTTAATAATATCGATAAAATTTAAACTGACAACATTTCAGGAGGTTGCATTGCTTTGTAGACGTCAAACTCTACGATCTCGCCATCAACTTCCATGGTCAATATACCGCTTCTCACATCAATCTTCATATTTGCGGTGCTTAGGAAGGTCAGCCTAGTTGAACTTTAGAACAAGTATTTTTCCTGTCATTTTCTATGTCGATTATATAAAAATCGACATGAAGTATAAGAACGTCAACCCTCACCAAAACATTTTCGAGTACTCCCTCTGGGCAAATGATAGAGAGATTCGCCAACTGTAGTCACTTGTGTTTTCTTCAAAGACTCGTTAGTAATCATTTTATACACAGAAAGTGGCATCAGATTGATTGAATCTCCTAAGGTTTAATCGGAAAGTTATCTATTTTGCAAGGTATAGCGAATATACCTTGATCCTTCATTTTTTTATGGAAGTTTCCGGGTCAAAACCGCTGAAACATGCTCTCCCAAATTTTTCTTTTTGTGGCCAATCAGTTTTTGCTTCGTGGTACAAAGTTCCTTAAAAAATCGAGCATACATCGGGACTTGTCGGATTACATCAAGGAGAGGTATGTTAACTTGTACTTTCTGGAATATTTCTATAATTTCCTTCTCATCGGTTTTCTTGTCATGCCCTAATAATCTTGAGGGGAAAAGAAGTGCGGTTTCGTGGGGAGAAAGAAAAGAATGAGGGTGAGTTTATGAGAAGAAGTAGAAGAAGACGGAATAGGTGAAGAAGTTGCACCTTGATTGTCGGATTGTAGCGCGTCTTTCTTTTAAAATGTGCGACCTCCTTTTCTTCTGTGAATTCAGGATTAATAACAATTCCGCTTTGGAGAGTGATATCACTAATATTCTCTCTCGGGTTTGACTTTATTTAAAAAGGTAGTCTTCCTTACGACTCATGTCTTCACATATTTTGAGCTAATTGGATCACTTGTTTATCCAGCTCGTACAGATGCCCTTCAGTTTTCCCTTGGAATTTTTTCTAGGAATCGATGAATTCTTCATGGGAAATTACCAACTTCTCCACCATCGCCTCTAATGATGTCTTTTGCATTTATGGTTATAGATGTGGCCTCGGTTGATAATTTGGCTTCGAATTTTGTACGTAACTGAAGTTCAGATGGTCTCGCCATCCCAGATTATAAGTATTCCCATACGGATTGTATGGTCTTTGAGGAGCTCCTGGAAAGCTCCCTATGGCATTGACTTGTGCATTTTTTTGTAGCATCGGGCAGTAGTCCGTCAGATGATCTGGCATCGTGCATATCCCACAAACTATTGTTACTAGAGATTTTCCTACAACCAATGAATTAACTACTTCAGTTAATTTATCTAACTTATTTTCAATGGAAAATGTACTTATCTTGTGAACCTATTGGCTGGGTTCACTTGAAAATTGTTGAGAATTGGCAACCATGGTGGAAATTAATTCTCTCGCAGTTGTTGGCGTCATATTGATTAAGGTTCATCCGCTTGCGACATCGATCATCTTCATTCCTAAAGGCGACAATCCTTCATAAAAGTATTACAACAACGTCTGTTCACTTAATTCATGTTATGGACAACTCGCACAAAGCTTTTTGAATCTTTCCTAATAATCTTAAAGACTTTCTTCTGGTTTTTTCGAATTGAAAGAATGCTCCTTCGTAACTCGCTTGCTTTGGCCGCTGGGAAGTACCTATCAAGAAAAATATGACTCATGTTAACCCATGAATTAACTGAGTTTGGAGGTAAGTAAAATAACCATTCCTTAGCCCAATCGACTAAGGAAAAAAGAAATGCTCTCAATTTTATTTGATTTTGGAAACTCCCTATGGTTTCATGCTGGAGCAAACCATTTGGAATTTTGTCAAGTGCTTGCACGGATTTTCATTAGGAGACCGCGAAAAGTAAGTTGGAGATGAATAAGGCTGATCTTTAATTGAAATGAAACTTCACCTTGTGGAAATGCTATGCAAAGTGGCATTTGAGTAGCAGGAGCTACGGCTAGCTCTCAGATCATTTGTTCTTTTTCCATCAAGATCTGATCTTCGTTGTTTGATTTGGTGTATGCGTCAATTTCAGATTTTGTTTCTAGATCTGGATCGGTTTCTGAACTCTGCTATTGTTCTTCTTGTCTTTTCCTTTTTTTCTCGAAGCGTTTGTGCACGGAGTCTTCAGCTCTTGCTTCGATCTTCGAGTCAAAATCTAATAATTCTCTCGGGTTGTTCTAGTCATATATAAAAAAACTTAAGAAAATAATCAGTAAATACCGTTAGTTCCCCGACAACGACTCTAATTTGACGCGTGTCATTTTTCACGTCAAAATAAATTTCTTCTTCTCGAATAAAAGAAATAAAAATAAATATATAGTATATGAGAAGTAGGGTCGAACACGCATGAATTAAGGAGATAAAATAATTTCTTCGCTTTTGATTCTGACCTTAGGCATGACTTTGAAATAAATAAATTGAGGGTTTTGTAGTTGAAGAATAAAAATAAGGAAAATTGAAAATAAGATTTAAAGGAAATAAAAGAAAGGTAGATAAAGGAAATTGAAAACTCAATTGATTAAATCAGCCTTAGGCATCAGCTGACTCAAATTCTTTGGATCATCGAAATAGATTTACCCTTTGGGATTCACGTCGGTTACTTTGTCTATAAGGAAAGATCCTTGCGAATGACTTGTATACCGAATACCCAAGTGCAATTATTAGATCTCAGATTTGAAAATTGATCTAACCAATATTAATTGTTGTAGATCAATAAACGTTTAAGCGCATAAAACTGTCTCGGATATTTGTTTCCATAAAAATCGTTTCCGATCTCAATTCCCACTTTAGCAACAATTTGCTAGTTGTTTTCCCAGGAAGTTCATTTGCTATCAATTAGTCGATCATTCCTCCTACATGTTCAATCGCAACAACATTTCGGCCATAGACTATCTTTGGTTTTGAAAATTGTTTTGATTTGAAATAAGCAAAAAATAAATTGATAAATGTATCTGAAGTTACTTAAGTACTTTTCAATTCTCACGCTAAAATTAAGTCATCACTTAGCTCTCGGCTTAGAAGATAATTAGCTAAACATGACAAAAGTCATACTTAACATATAAAAAAAAGCTTTAAAATAAAAATAAAGAAAATGAAAGTAAAGAAAAAGAGAGAAGGTTTTTTTATAAAAACAGAATTGAAGAACTTCGAGATTCAAGAAATCATTGTTTAGGGTCAACCTAGAAGAATATTTATAGTCTTCCAAAATTCTAAAAATAACTAAAAATTATAAAAGATAATTATTTGAATTTAATTCCTAAAAATAAAAAGATAAATCCTAAAACTTGAATTTCCGTCTACCTTCTAGAAGTTGTTGATTGAAAGTTGTTGATTGGATCTTCTAGAAGCTATTGACTCACTGTCACATCAATATTTAATATCCACTTTTTCAACATTGATTCCATAATAAAAAATTACATTTTTTAATTTTTTAAGCATATTTTTCAGAAGTCATTATCATGTAAAAAAAATCATAAAACATCCAATTTAATAGTATTTAAGAACAAAATATGATATAAAATAAACACTAATAAACGGCGATAATCGTGTGTTTTGCAATAAATATTTCCAATGAAAGAATACAAATCGTCAGATCAGAGCTCTATAAGTAGGGGAAATGGTGGGCCTTTAAAAGCTTTAAAAAAAAAGCAAAAAGGATTCGAAGAGACTTTTATAGTCAGTAAAAGCAAGCACTAGAGAATCCGATCAATACCCATTTTCCCTTTGATTCTTCTTTTTAAGGTTTCTTCATCGTCATTTGAAGATAAAAAGTTTTAGGAACTGTGGTGAAAGCGTTAAGCGTAGCTTGATAATGTATGTTAATGCTTGATAAGTATTCTTCTATACTTTCTTCGGAGCTAAGAAACCCAGCACTCTTTTTTTGTTTTGTTTTTCTGTTTACAACAGATATTCAGAGGAAGCAGACTGCATCGACTAAAAAAAATATGAGTTTCATTGATACTGTGTTTCAATGGACCCTCGAAGACGTCTTCAATGATGGTCTTTATAAGGATCAGGTGGGTTTGCTTTGTTCTCCATCATGATCCTCATCAATTCATCATCATACTTGAATCTTTGATGTTCTTCTTTTGTTAGACATTATTTGTTGGATTATTTTGCAGCTTCTGGAATATCTTACAGTTTTTTTGGAAGTTGAAACATTCTCTTAAATATTAAACTAGTTGTTCCAGTTAATTGTAGTATATGTTTTTGCATGCATTTTTTTAACTCAGTCAACTACTACGAATATAAACATGCATATATGGTTATGGCAGTGAGCCAAAAGTGGCATATTACTTACGCAGGTAGTGAATCAGAGGATTACACTTAAACTTCTTTTCTCTCAGTTTTTAGCCTGTTGAATGTTCTTAGAGGCAAATTTGTTTTATTTTAATTTGATCTCAATTGCTAGGTGGAGGTGATTCCGGTTTCGTTTCAGTCCGTGGGGCAATATTTTAGGTCATATCATTTTCCTTTGTTAGAAGAGACAAGGGCAGCTATCCGTTCATCAATGGAAATTATTGATAGAGCACCATATGCCGAAGTGACATATCTTAATGATGTGAAACCAAATGGAGCATTGTTGTTTAATGTGGAGGTTGATAGGAGAAACAGGTTCAGTGATCACGAGAAGCACCATATGCCGAAGTGACATATCTTAATGATGTGAAACCAAATGGAGCATTGTTGTTTAATGTGGAGGTTGATTACTGGAGAAACAGGTTCAGTGATCACGAGAAGGAGCCGTATAAAACGTTGTCTGGTGATGTTTTGATCATAACTGATGTGAAACCGGAAACTGCTTCTGATTTACAAAGGATAGGAAAGACATGGATTTTTTCCCTGGTCATAGATATTCAAAATGATGACGATGAGGGTGACGACGAAGATAATAGCTCATCGTTGTCATTCAAAGTGAAAACACTGGAAAACGTCGTTTCTAAAGATTATTTGCAGAAATCACTATATGTTGTTCACTTGACAAATGTAACCACAAACAGACGGATATGGAATGCATTGCACATGATGAGAAACACGACGATTATCAACGAAATTTTGCACACTGATTCTGTGGTATGGTATCACATTACCTATATGTTTGAGATTTGTTTCTGTGAATGTTGCATTGTATTGGATAATTTGCAATGGCTTTTCATAATTAGTGGTTGCTTATGATGCATGTAGCTATGTTTATTAAGCATCATGCAATATGGTTATTCTTTGTGTTAACAAGTTATGACCCTGCATGTGTCCAGCTCAATTTATGTACCATGAGTTGCATTTGACATTTTCCTTTCATCTTAAATATGTTTCAATGTGATTGCATAACCGGTTTTCATATATTTATTGTTATTACTTTAATTTTATGCATTTGCAGGATTGAATTTTATGAAATTTCATGTTTTATGCAGGTAGCGGAAAGCTGCGGGTTCTGTTCCTCGGAGATTGATGGAAACTGGAATGAGACTTTTCTGACAAGTTTGCTATCTCAACTGAATGAGTCACAAAAGAATTCTATCGTTGCTAGTCTCAACAAAATGCAGTGCAACCACAAGTCTCATGTGGAACTTATTTCGGGGCCACCGGGAACTGGGAAAACTAAAACTGTTAGTGTGCTTCTGTTTGCACTGTTGAGAATGAAGTATAGGACACTCACTTGCGCCGCAACAGATGTTGCAATTACAGAAGTAGCTTCTCGTGTCTTAAAGCTGGTAAAAGAAGCTAACAAAACATGCTCTGTGGCAGATGACAGTTTTTGTTCCTTGGGAGACATCCTCTTATTTGACAGCAAGGAGAGAATTAAAGTCGATCATGAGATTCAGGAAATATTTCTGGATTATCGTGTAAAACAGCTTAAGGAGTGCTTTGGACCATCAGGTTGGTGGCACTGTTTCACTTCAATGATTACTTTTCTTGAAGATTGTGTCCCTCAGTACCATATTTTCTTAAAAAATGAATCGACCGAAGTGAGCGAACATGGTAGAGAAGATGAAAACCAGGAGAAAGATTGTTGCAGTGAAACAGATTGTAAGAAGGGGATACACAAATCATTTATTGAGTATGCGAGGGAAAGATTTGCTGCTACAGCATTGTCTCTGAGAAGATGTGTCTCAATTTTACACACTCATATTCCCAAAATCTACTTTGAGGAACATATTTTCGAAGACCTTGAAACACTTTTAGGCCTGCTCGATTCTTTTGAAACTTTTCTTTCCGTTGATGGTATAACTTCTGATGAAGTGGAGCTCATTTTACACTCAAAAGAGGATAAATTGTTTCCTCAAAAACTATGTGATCCGTATCACTCATTGTGCTCTATAAGAAGACAGTGTCTTTCTGTTTTGAAAGCCCTTCGAGATACTCTTTGTGAACTTAAACTGCCAAGTGAAATGAACAAAGCTTCCATTGTACAATTCTGCTTTCAATCAGCTTCTTTACTCATTTGCACTGCATGCAGTTCTTATAAACTCTATAAAGTTGAAATGAAACAACTCAATGTGTTGGTAATTGACGAAGCAGCGCAGTTGAAAGAATGTGAATCAGCCATTCCCATGCAATTGCCGGGCATAGCACATTCAGTTCTTATTGGTGATGAATGGCAATTTCCTTCTACACTTCTAAGCAATGTATGCAAATTATTCTTGATTCGTTGTAATCATTTTTCTCCAAAGTTCCCTTGCGATCCCCCACTCATTTATTGCCAGAAGTAACTTCATTAATTTCTTTGTAGGTTTCTAGTGAAGCTGGCTTTGGAAGAAGTCTATTTCAAAGGTTGACTACTTTGGGTCATTCAAAGCACCTACTGAATATTCAGTACAGAATGCATCCATCAATTAGTTTCTTTCCAAATTCAAGTTTCTATAATAACCAGATCCTGGATGCAATTGATGTTAAGCATATAAGAGTTACGAGAAACGTTATCTTCCATGGCCTATGTTTGGTCCCTACTCCTTTTTAAATGTCTCTGGAAAAGAAGAAAAGGATGGTTTGGGGCATAGCTACAGGAATATGGTTGAAGTAGCCGTCGTGAAGATGTTGGTGCAATCTCTGTTCAAAGGTAATTATCATGAACTTAATTTTTAATTATATATATATTTGGATTAGTTTGATTATATCTGGATAATTAATTTTCTGGCATATGCTTCATTGGCCTTAAAGAGATTACTTTGAGGGTTAGATGAGGCCTTTTCAATCCACTTCATATTAATATCAGAAAGCAATCTTGTAATCATTAGATTGATTTATTTATGTTACATTTGTTGCTTTTGCATACAGCACGGAGTAGCTCAAGAGAGAGGCTTAGCGTTGGCATAATATCTCCCTATGCTGCTCAAGTTGTTGCAATTCAGGAGAAGCTTGGTAGGAAGTATGACAAAAGTGATAACTTCGAAGTGAAGGTGAAGTCGGTGGATGGGTTCCAGGGCGGCGAGGAAGATATCATAATAATGTCAACTGTGAGATCCAATTGTTCCGGAGAAATAGGTTTTGCATCCAATTCTCAAAGAACTAATGTTGCTCTAACGAGGGCCAGGTATTTCCTTGGATTAACCTTTTCTATTTCTCTTCAGTTTTTGGAATTCTGTAATAAGTTGCAGTGGGTTTTTAATGCCTTTCTCAGGTACTGCCTCTGGATTTTGGGGGATGGAAAAACACTGGCCAAACATGAATCTGTTTGGCAGAGCTTAGTTCGTGATGCAAAATCGCGTCATTGTTTCTTTGATGCCAATGAAGCCAAGGGATTAGATAAAACTATTTTTGATGCTAGGAAAGAGTTTGATCAGCTTGATGACTTGCTTAATCATGATAGTGTTCTCTTCAAGAATGCTAGGTGGAAGGTTGTGACTTTTGCTGGTTAAAACTTGCTATCATTCTACTTGCTCTATCAAGTTATTGAGACTCCATTACATACTATATGCATTCGAAACTAAGCGCTAACCTTTATTCTTTTCATTTTCCATGACCTCAGGTTCTTTTCAGTGATAACTTCAGAAAGTCATTTAGGAAGGTGAAATCTGCCCAAACCCAGAAATTAGTTTTAAATCTTCTGTTAAATCTTTCTTGTGGCTGGCGACCTAAGAGAAATGTTAACATAACTCGTGAAAGCTCTTCTATAGTCTTGAAACAATTTAAGGTTGAAGGCCTTTATATTGTCTGCTCAATTGATATAGTGACGGAGCAGAAGTATAAATTCACTCAAGTATTGAAAGCTTGGGATCTTTTGCCATTAGAGGATATTGCAGGATTGGTTAAGCGACTAGATGGGAGCTTCAAAATACATACAGATGATTTTATCCGTCATTGCAATGAGAAATATCTGGAGGGGTATGTGACCATCATGGTAGTCCTATTGTGTAATATAAATTATGATTATTTTGAATATGAATATTGTGCCTTATATGCAGTTATTCTTAAAATCCTACATTGTTTTTATTCTTCTTTTTTCTTTTTTGTATTTAGGCGTTTGGAAGTTCCCAAAACTTGGCCAATCTCATATGATATTGTCAGATATAAGACCTTATGTAAAGATGAAACAGAAAACAGTTCAAGTGGTAGTGCTTCAGATGGTAGATGTTATTTGGAGAACTCGAAAGTCAATGAGAGCTTGCTGTTGATGAAATTCTACCCTTTGTCGTTCGATGTTGTTAATCACCTTCTCTTTGATCATGATGGAAGTGAACCAGAACTTCCATTTGAGGTTACAGATGAGGAACGTGATATAATTTTATTCCCAAGAAGCACTTTTGTATTAGCCAGGTCAGGCACCGGGAAAAAACAACTGTGCTGACCATGAAGTTGTTCAAGCAAGAGAAATTACACCTTTTAGCAACTGAAGGTTTTGATGCACTCAACTATGCAAATAGCTCTAATTCAGTCCTTCGGGTAAACAGAAAAATGGATGGTGTTGAAGGGACTGAAGCAACTCCACTGCGCCAGCTATTTGTCACGGTGAATCCCAGGCTTTGTTATGCAGTGAAACATCATGTTCTTCAGTTGAAAAGGTGTGTTGGATTCTCTGATAAAATTATATCTTCTTGGTAGTATGAATGTATTTTGAGTGTATAGCTGACATAGAAATAAATTACATATGAGGTATGGGGATATATATATATGTGTGTGTGTGTGCACGCGCGTGTTTCAGGACGTGCTTCCTTTTCGGGTAGATCAACAAAGTAACTTGCTTTTTAAGAATTCAGTAAAAGATATATAGAGCCCTAGAGTGAAAAATTGAACCTAGATATTTTGCCATGTGACATGTTCAATCTCTTAGAAGTTTGAAACAATACAAATCACTGAGAAGGTTTATCTAAAATTGCAGGCAACTCTTTTGTATTTTGTTTTAGATACCTAATTAGCTAATGCACAAATTTGATTGTTATTGTTTACAAATTTGTTTATTTTGGTTGATTTCCATGTAAATTAATTTGGTTAACTTTACATTTAAGTGCACCCAGTTTAGGATTCTTCAGTTAGATGCATGTATATTTTTCCCTGGTGTAAAAGGCCTTGTTATACAGGTTTGTCAGTGGAGGAAACTTCTCTGAAGAGGGTGTTTTGCAAGATGCGGATGATATTGGTGGTGCAGCAGAGTTCAAGGATATTCCTGATTCATTTTTGGATGTTCTTCCCAAGGCATACCCACTTGTGATAACTTTGCAGAAGTTTCTGATTATGCTTGATGGAACAATTGGCAACTCGTTCTTCGCGAAGTTCTTTGACACCAGGGAACTATCAAATTTGGAATTTGGATGTGCGCCAACCTTGGTAAGAAATTGTATAAGAAGGAAGGAGGTTAACTTTGAGAAGTTTTGTTCAATTTACTGGCCTCATTTTAATGCTAAGCTGACAAAGAAACTGGACTCATCCAGAGTCTTTACTGAGATAATGTCTCATATAAAAGGTGGCTTGAGATCAGAGGATTCCAGTGATGGAATACTCAAAGAGGAGGATTATGTCAAACTATCTGAGGGTCGCGTGTCTACCTTAAGCTCACTTGAGAGGCAGATGATATATGATATTTTTCAATGTTACGAAAAAATGAAAGGGACAAAAGGTGAGTTTGATATGGCTGATGTTGTCATTGATCTTCATCGCCGACTTCAATGCCATAGGTATGAGGGTGACATAATGGATTTTGTTTACATCGATGAGGTTCAAGATCTTGCAATGAGACAGATTGCCCTTTTCAAACATGTTTGCAAAAATGTCAGTGAAGGCTTTGTTTTCTGTGGGGATACAGCTCAAACAATTTCAAGGGGTATTGATTTTAGATTTGAAGATATACGGTCCCTTTTCTACAATGAATTTATTTTGGGATCAAAATGTGAAACAAATCATGTGAAGAAGAAGGTTCAAATATCTAAATGTTTTCACTTGAGCCAGAATTTCCGTACGCATGATGGTGTCCTAAGGCTAGCGCAGAGTGTAATAGATCTTCTTTACCGTTTCTTTCCATCATTTGTTGACATGTTATGCCCCGAAACTAGTCTCATAAATGGAGAAGCTCCAATTTGGCTTGAATCTGGCAGTGAAGACAATGCAGTTGCAAAACTATTCACAAACAGTGGTAAAGATAAGGGACGTATGGTTGGATTTGGAGCAGAGCAGGTCATACTAGTACGCGATGATCCTGCCAAGAGTGAAATTTTGAAGTATGTTGGCAAGAAGGCTCTTGTTTTGACTATAGTGGAATCTAAAGGTTTAGAGTTTCAGGTATTTCGTGTTTAATAATTATTCTTTTTTTTTCTATCGTCCTATGATCTGCTTGGTTATGGATGTGGGTGTTTGTTGTTTTTAATATATGCTCATTTATAATACTCGCCACCTTTTTGTTAAAGAATTGTTCTGGTCCTCGTGCCTCTATCTCATAAGTGTCTTTTCATGTCTCCCTCGTCATTGTTTCCAAGATGTAAAATGGTTCGTCCATGTTAGGATTAATTTGTGTGCATTATATTTCTGTAGGATGTGTTATTGTACAACTTCTTTAGTTCATCTCCTTTAAAGGATCAATGGAGAGTTGTATATGAATACATGATTGAGCAAGGTTTACTTGGTGCCACTTGTGCATTCCCGAGTTTCCACCATGCAAAACACAACATTATGTGCTCTGAACTGAAGCAGTTATATGTTGCTATAACCCGCACAAGGCAAAGACTGTGGATTTGTGAAAATGATGATGAGTTCTCTGAGCCGGTGTATAGTTACTGGAAAAAGAAGTGCCTTGTTCAAGTTAGGAAGCTGGACGATTCACTTGCACGAGCAATGCGAGTTGCAAGCTGTCCCGAAGAATGGAAGTCACGTGGTTATAAGGTTTGTTGTTGCTTGATTTTAGGAGGTGGTCTATTAATAATCTATTGTTTATCATTTTCATACATATCCAAGCCATGCCCTCAATTTTTCAATGAATTATTGTTTCTGAAATGTAACAACTCTATTCTCTCACTTATTTGTACCCTGCAGCTGTTGGACCAGCATAACTATGAGATGGCAACAACGTGTTTCGAAAAAGCAAATGATGAATTTGGGGTTAAACTTTCCAAGGCTCTTGGACTTAGGGCATATGCCGACCGGGAGCATGGTTCGAATCCCAAAATGTCTTCTACTTCCAGGAGGCAAGCTGCTGAAATTTTTTATTCCATCGGCAAGGCTGAGCTAGCTGCAGAGTGCTTTTGCATGTTAAAGGAGTATAAAAGAGCTGGTAGAAATACATTTTCCCTATCTACATCCCAAAAGTAACGAATATTTCCTGAGGCAGTCTTTGATTACCAATGAGTTCTATTGTTTTGAAAATGCAGGTCAAATCTATTTGGAAAAATGCGGTGAATCCGCCCTGGAGAGAGCGGCAGAATGTTTTGTTCTTGCTGGATGTTACAAACGTGCAGCAGAATTGTATGCAAGGTTGAACTATTTCTCTAAATGCTTGTCTGCTTGTACGAAAGGCAAATTCTTCAAGACCGGCTTGCAGTACATTGAATTCTGGAAACAACATGCAACAATGGTAATAAGTGGTGATGATTTGGAGAAACTAAAGCAAAAGGTTTTGGAGAGCGCTGCACATCATTATCATGAGATTAATAGTAAGACTAAAATGATGGATTATGTCCGAGCATTTGATTCCATGAATTCAAGACGAATATTCTTGCGGTCCAGGGAGTGTCTTGATGAGCTCATATGTTTGGAAGAAGAATCAGGGAACTTCTTCGAGGCTGCAAACATTGCGAAGTTCAAAGGTTATCATGTACGTGCCGCTGAAATTTTTTATTCCATTGGCAATGCTGAGCAAGCTGCAGAGTGCTTCTGCATGGCAAAGGAGTATGAAAGAGCTGGTATAATTACATTTTCCCTATTTATATATACCTTCTTATGAACATCAACTTGAACTGCTAAAATTTAACAGCATTGACATTCTATGATTCCTATAATCTGTATGCTTTAGTTTGTGATCATTAGTGACAAATTAAATGCGAGTTTGTTCACTTTTTCCCTTTTTTGATTACCTCATTTGCATCAGAATTATTTTTTTCTAAAAAAAGTAACAAATATTTCCTGATGCAGTCTATGATTATCAATGAGTTCTATTGTTTTGAAAATGCAGGTCAAATCTATTTGGAAAAATGCGGGGAATCCGCTCTGGAGAGAGCAGCAGAATGTTTTGTTCTTGCTGGAAGTTACAAACGTGCGGCAGAATGTTTTGTTCTTGCTGGAAGTTACAAACGTGCGGCAGAATATTTTGTTCGTGCTGGATGTTACAAACGTGCTGCAGAAGAGTATGCAAGGTTGAACTATTTCTCTGAATGCTTGTCTGCTTGTACAAAAGGCAAGTTCTTCAAGACCGGCTTGCAGTACATTGAAAACTGGAAACATACAAAAATGGTCAAAAGAGTTGAGGATTTTGAGAAACATAAGCGGAAGTTTTTGGAGACAGCTGCACAATATTATCATGATATTAATAGTAAGAGTGAAATGATGAACTATGTCCGAGCATTTGATTCCATGAATTCTAGACGAATGTTCTTGCTGTCCAGAGAGTGTTTTGATGAGCTCATATCTTTGGAGGAAGAATCAGGGAAATTCGAGGAGGCCTCGCATCTTATCCTCTGGTTTGTGTTAGCCAACTCTCTTTGGTCAGATCGGAGCAAGGGTTGGCCATTAAAGCAGTTTGAACAAAAAGAGAAGCTTCTAATGAAAGCCAAGTCATTTGCAGAGAATTCATCAAACCAGTTTTATGAGTTCGTTTGTTCAGAGTCGGACATTTTACTGAACAAGCCGAGCAACTTATCCTTGACGAAAGAACATTTAAGTGCTTCTAAGAGGCACAATAGTACCCGAGGTAAAATTTTAACCGCTCGAATAATTCTCGATCTTCACCTTCATTTAAATATCTCAGAATATGAATGGATAGATGAATTGGTCTCTGATCCTGCAAGTCATTCAGAAGAGAAAATTTGTAGGAACCAGGTTTCCAGTGTGACGCTGGTCTACTTTTGGAATTTTTGGAAGTATCAAATCTTGAATATGCTCGAGTATCTTGATAATGGTAAAAACCAAGGTGGAATTAATGATTCTGTAAGTTATGAAGATTTCTGCTTGAGTTATTTTGGCGTGTGGAGAGAATTTAAAAACCGGACTACTGTCTATCTTCTGATGAATTCCGATGCCGAATGGCTGAGAATACTTGATAACAAACAAGTATGCAGAAACCAGAAGCTGCTTTCCATTTCATTCAGTCAATTTTTCTCGGCTGCAAGGAGTTATTGGTGGTCAGAATTGCTAGACGTTGGCCTGCAAGTCCTGAGAATGCTTGTGCGACTCTATAATTTCTCGTGCACGAATTCTTTGTCATCCTTTAATCGAAGCATGTCTCTTACTCAAATCTATGAGATTGCATGTTTTCTCTTGTATTCCAAGTTTCTTAACAACCAGCATGCGCAAAAGGATTTGATGAAATTCATCCACCTGTCATCAAAGGACTTCTTTGGTTATGTATTTCCACTTGATTGTCGAGAGTCGTTGAGAGAAAACATGATCTCTCTAAGGGGATCAGAAACTTCAAGAAGTTTACTTGAAGAAGTCATTTTGGAATTGACCAAATCAAAAAGTAATAGCTTGTCATACAAGGATATTGGAAAGGTGGCTTTGATAATCCTCGGATCTGGTCAATTTAAGACTGAACTTTTCGGGAAGATTCTCGAGTGTTTACAATGGAATGCAGCATGGAAGAACTTCATTGCAAGTCTCAAAGAGGATAGAGGTTCTCCTACAGTTATTTTCAAGTTCCTTGAAGCTTTACTAGATACTTATGAAGTTCATTGGTGGAACATATTTGATTATATGTCACCAGTTAGTTTCTTGTATCTCGTTGAGCGATATCTGATGTTGTTATCCTCCTTCAATGGATACTTTCTCACTACAAAGACAACTTTTGTGGAGTGGTTCATCTACAAGGATGGAAGACCGATCTCAACTTCCAGTTCTGTCGGCATCAATCAGAAATCTTTGGAATACACTCTTAATTTTGTAATTGACAAGGTTCAGAAGATGCTGCATTGTTATGTGGAGGCCATAGATTGGATCGACAAGTCTTGTATAAATGCGGAGGAGTACAACCCTTCACTACTTGTTTTGAGATCGATTATCGTTGTAAGCCTGCTGCATTTGAACTTTGGGAAGGGTCTCGATTTACTTGTCGACTTGCTCGTTCATGAGCATATTACAGGACTACTTCCCTCAGAGTTTTGTGATGCTGTTTGGAGATATAGTCTGAATTTCGACATAAATGTGCTTGCCTATGCTTTTAAGAAGATCGGAAACCCTCTCGCAATTGTGAGCATCAAGGGAAACTGTCCTAAATCTGAATGCAGGGATGCTATATTTGTTGATATGAAGCTCAATCCATGCAGGGAGGAAATATTGAGAATGTTGTTCCCTAAAACTGGAAGTTCTTAGTTTAAATCTGCTGCTGAAGCGTTTCCTCCATCGAGTTATGACGAGGGGACAAGCTCGGATGTTGTGGTGTCTTAAAGATCGGTTACTCTGTCAGATCAAGAGCATATTATTGGCGGTGAATGATATCAAATATCGAACGAACTTCAGTTTACATGATAATAATGTTTGTATGTCTTCCTGTCTTTCCCTGTATTTTCGATTTCGTATGTTATTTTGTCATTCGGGGAGGTCGACGATGGTGCCCTCCATGCGGCAGCCACACTACTCGGAGAAAGATGAAAATCATCCATGTGAGAGATCTGGTGATCCATACTAATGTAGAAGAGAGTTTTGTGTCTTGTCCAAAGTAGAAGTGAGTTTAAGAATGTAGTAATGGCAAGAAACCAACTTCAGAATAACAGATACAATGTTATGTATGTATGGATGTATGAATTGATGTTTTTTGTATGCATGTATGTAGAAGACAGTTAACAGTCTTCTGATTTGACCAAAGTGGAAGTGAGTTGAGAAATGTAGTAATGGCTAGAAACCAACTTCAGAATGACAGATACAATGTTATGTATGTATGGATGTATGTCTTTTGCATGTATGCATGCATGCATGCATCATTAATCACTAAGCCAACAATAATCATAATTAAATATCATTAAAGAAAGAATTGAGCAAAGTCCACAAATAAAATTTGGTACGTAGAGAAATGAAAGGTTTCACGTTTTATCATAATGGTTGGCGATGAGGGATTGAATAGCACCGGATAAGTTGGTCATGGCCGCAACGAGATCCGTCATCCCTTTGTGGTTGACTTCGTTCTGAGTCTCTTCGATCCGGAGTCGACGGTGTTCCAGTTCCATCACTTGTTGGTGCCGTTTCTCTTTTCTCTCTTCGCAGCTTTTAAGGGTTCGAGCTAACACGGAGGCACTCCGCATTATGCTCGAACCGATTTTTCGAACCTTTTTACGTTTAGTCTCCGAATCCAGATTTTCACTTGGCTCTGTCTCTGAGGAACCGGACTCTTCTGTTCAATCACAATGTATAGCAAAATAAAAGTACAATTAGGTGTTCAATCATAGTAATTCGATCGTAAGTTCATGTCCGACACATACTCGAATTCGAATATATATATATATATATATATATATATATATATATATAATATATATATTATATCCTACCCATTACAACTCAACTCGAACCATGACATTCAATCATACTTAATCTCGTTTTATATCTTCACGAGTTAAATGTAACCATTTGAATTGAACTATGATAAATCGAAGGAACATGTCACATTATTGAAAAAATAGTATCAAATATCCTAATATAATAATATTTAGGGTAAATTACACGTTTAGTACTTAAACTATTAGTTTTGGTTCATTTTAGTACCTAAACTTTTATTTTTTTCAAAATCATACCTAAAGTTTAATTTTTGTTTCATTTTAGTATCCTGCCGTTGAAAACTTTAGTTCTTGTTTCATTCTAGTTCCCCAATTCAAAATTGAATATTAAGTTTTGAAAAAAATGAAAGTTTAGGTACTCAAAAGGACCAAACTGATAGTTTATGTACTAAATGCATTAAGTTTTTAACGGCGGAATACTAAGATGAAATGAAAATTATTTGTAAGGCATAGTTTTGAAAATAAAAATAAAAATTTAGATACTAAAACAGATCAGAACTGATAATTAATATACTAAATTCATAGTTTACCCTAATATTTAATGAAGTCCACTTTTGCCCCATTTCCCTTCCAAATCGTTAATAATCTGATCTGAAAAGTTGTTGAGAATGAATCCCAAACTGAGAGGTTAGGGACCAAGCTAGCGTCTAGCTAGCATGGGCTTTAGCACCCATAGGTTATTGGGTAAATTTCGTTTTCAGTCCTACCCTAAGAGTAAAATTTTAATTTGATCCTTTTAACCCTTTAACTAAATGATATATATATATATATACACGCACACTTTTGACCATTCCAATGTTTTATAGTTTATTTTAGGTCCCTACACTAAATTCTAGACTTCGTACCGAATCAACCATGCCCTCGTATTTTTTTAGACTAATGATAATACAAGTCTCTATAAACTTAAATATTAAATATATTAATTCCTATCCTAAAATTTAAAAGTTTTAATATTTAATATATTTTTACAGCTTTAAAATTAAATAATTTAATCTTTTTAATATTTGTTCCCCTATAAAAAATTAAATCCTCTAGTGGGTTAAATCATCTTAGGATAACTTCTATGTCATAAAAATATAAAATCTACTACAAGTTATTCAACACCCACAATCATGAATGACGTACGTACGTACGTATATACATACATACGTACATACATACATATATATATATACATATATATATATATATAAAAGATCCCCTTACATTTAGTATACAATTTTTAGTTTTATATTATTTTATAATCGTTTTAGGAGAAAAATCAAAGGTTTTTTTATTTTTCAGTGAATATTTTTTAATTTATTACTGTTAATTTCATCATTTGATTTCTACTCATCCAACGATCTTTAAAAGTTATATTTTTTTTATTTTACACTATATAACTGAATCTTAACCCATATATATACTGCTGGTCGAATTATATATTAAAACAAATATGAATTTAAAAAATTAAATTATAAATAAAAAATTTTGAAAATTTCAAAATATGACCGCAAGTCATTTTGGTCCGTATATGTATAAAAGTAATCTCAGTATCAACTAGGGATGGGTATGAGACATGAATTTGATGGGTTTTTATTAGACTCGATTCGATCCGATCGAATTGGAATTTTTTAAAAATATCGGTTTTAGGTCGGGTTGAGTCTGGGTTTAGAGTGAAACCCGATCTGAATCGGAAAAAAATTATGATTTATCTTATATATTTAAAGCTAATTGTAATAATAAACCTCTATATATTATTTTTCTTTCAATTAAACACGTATTTTTAATAAATATATCAGTCCAGGTAGTGTCGGGTCGACTTCGGATTTTATCTCAAAAAATCAGGTCGGATTCGAGTCAGATGGAGGATTTATGATTTTCGAGACTGATCAGGTGGATCGAAAATCCGAACCGACTCGACCCATACCCATCCTAGTATCAACATGTAATGTAATTTTACAACAATTATTTTATAAAAATTTAATAAATTATAATATTTAAAATAATAAAACATCTTTACTTTTAGATATAAATCTATTTTTAGTGATTATGGAACATGGAAAATGTTTTTAAAAAAATTGAAGAAAGGAATGGGCCCCTAATAAATGAAATGGAGCAGAGTTTTCAAACCTGCAAGTTTGACTATATATGAAAAGTAATTATAATAAATAATAATATAAATCGCTGAAAGACAAAAATACGAAAAGCTTTCTCTTTTGTGATTTCTGACACATTACTACTACCATGCTATACTCCAAGCATCCTGCAGCACCCCAAGATTAAAATAATAGTAAACAGTACCTGAAACCGTCGCCGGAGCTTCAACCTCCGGCGCCCTCCGCTCTGTCTTACCGGCTAGTTGCTTCGGCGATCGAGAAACCAAAGGTTGCTGTTGTTGTTGTTGTTGCTGTTGCTGTTGCTGTTGCTGTTGCTGATGGGTGGTGTGTTTTCTTTGAAGAACATCGTTGAGTGCTTCGAAGACTTCAGGGGACATGTTGGTGGGCAAGTTGTGGAGCTTACGCTGCTGTCTGTCCATGGACCAGTACGACGGCGATTGTTGGGACGACGACGACGATTGGTACTGCAGGACCTTTTTGTAGTCGCGGAGGAGGTTATCCCATTTGTCGTTGCATTGGTTTTTGCTGCGGAAACAGCCGTGATCCCAGCAGTAGTTCTCGATCCACTTCCACCTTAATTCGCCTGGTCTCGACGGTGTGCTCGTGGAAGGCCTGGCGCGGCGTTCGTCGTCGATTCTTTTGGCGGTGATGAGAGTCAGAGTTTCTTGGATTGTCCAGTTCCCTTTGCGGTATTCACGGTTGGTGGCGGTGGTTAGTGTGGTGGTTTGCGGTGGTTGGTGGAGGTGGTAATGGTGGTGGGAGGTTGAAGGTAAGGACGGAGGAGGTGGTGGTGGTGGTGGGAGAGGGTTGGACATGGTTTAAGCATGGGGGAGAAGAGTGGGAATTTTGTGTGTGTCGAATATACATGCTTTTGTTGGTTTGTGTGAGAGAGAAAGGGCATTTTTTTTAATATATATATATATATATATATATATATAAATTATTTTATTTATTGATTTGTCGTGATTGTAGATATATCGAGTGTTATTACGATTGTTGTGGCTTACATCTATTATGATCATACAATAATAGTTTCTAACGATATTGATATCATTATACGATAGCTATTATTCTCATAATGACTCCTTATTTAAATCTATAAACACATCTAATTTTTTTAAGAAAAATAATATTATTTTTTATCATTGAAATTATTTAAAGGATTCTTATTTATTTATTTTTAATTAAGTACATATTTTATATCTGATATCATTATACGATAGCTATTATCTCATAATGACTCCTTATTTAAATCTAAAACACATCTAATTTTTTAAGAAAAATAATTATTTTTTATCATTGAAATTATTTAAAGGATTCTTATTTATTAATTTTTAATTAAGTACATATTTTTATATCTATTTTAACTCCAACATTTACTTTGATACTTGAATTTTTTTTATTTAATCATGTATTTGAATTTAATTTTGAGGTTGAAATCTAATTAAGTATATGATTTTAATTTTGAAATTCAATTCGATACTTCTTACTCAATTAAGTATTTAAATTTAAATCCGTAGTTTAAATAATATTTTAATTTAGTTTTTTACCCAAAATGGTACTTATGATAGTCTTTTACCTTTTTGTACATCAAAAGCAAAAGAAAAATAGTATTAAAATGGTAGGTAAAAGAAGGACGGAAGGAGTAAATGGGGTTTTCCAAAAGACGGAGTAGTAACAGGCAAAAGGATGGAAAAAATTAATATTTGACGGCTTAGATATAACTCGATTTATTAGCGGGCGGTGACCAGTCTTGGTGTTGATTGACATCGTTAATATTTTTTCTTATTTCACATTTTTGTGGTATGAATTTTTCTGTTTTCATAATACGTTTTTTTCTTCTTTTTTTTAGCACATTTTTATTTTATTTTTAGATTGATTATCGTTTATTTTTTTTCAAGGGTTGAATTTAACGTTGACACGACTGATCAAGATGATGTTCATTTGTTATCTCGTTGATCTTCTCAGCTTTTGACCCTTGAATTTAACGTTTTATTGGATACGTGAACAATTTTAATGTTGGTTGTAACCCACCGGTTATCTTTTTTTTTTTAGTTTTTTTAATAAGAACAATTATGTCTTCGTGACATGTTCTCTATCTTTAGGACACGTTTGTCTCTGTCTTTATGACATTTTTTTTCTCTGCCTTTGTGGCATTTTTTTTCTGCCTTTTGGTAGCTTACGATTTTTTGTTTATCTTTTTTCTTAGGGTTGAATTTGACATCGTTACGACTGATCAAGATGACACTTATTTGTTATCATGATGATATTCCCTTCTTTGGACCATCGAATTGATTTGGAAACGCGTTTTGTGTTCGTAGATAGTTTTCTCACATCGCTCAACTCTGATTTGTGATTTGTCGGTGATCTTTCAGTTACTTCATCACTTTTTGTGGTTCGTTTACCGATGCAATCAAATTTGCTTGTATCTTTATTTTATTCGAGTTTTTTTGTTAGGTCTTTTAACATTTTCATTCTTTGGTCATTATGTAATATAGATGACTAATTTTTATCTCAATGATAATAGAAAAATGTCATAATTATATTTCGTGTTTACAGTTATGCTTGTAAATCTTCATTGTAATTTTGAATATTTTTTTTTATTTTTAATAAAACTAATGGCTTTCTATAAAAAAATTAATAAAAATATACATAAAATATTAACTTTGTGTTAGAATTTTGATAATTTATTTTACATAAAATTAAGGTTTAATTATAAAATAAGCGTTCAAATTATATTGCTTTTCTCAAATAGGAGTCTAAATTGTTTTTTGAATCATCCAAATGCCTAACGTTACAAACGCTACTATTTTAGGTGACAGGGCCATAACTGTCGTTAAATTCCTCAGTTAAGTGGCACGTGTAACGTTCTGGTAATTTTGAAAATTTTATTTTTTTAAATTAAAATTATTATTATATTTATTAAAAAACTCTAGTTTCTCTTTAATTATATATAAAGTCCAAAATCCCTAAAAAACCTAAATCACTAACCCTAATCCATCGACGTCATCCTTGTCGGTCACGGCCACAGTCGTCGACTTAGTCCTTGCCATCTTCCTAGTCATACACCGCTATACTTGATGTCGATTGGCTGTCGAGATCGCATGAGGTCGCGATTTGCTGCGTAGGATTTATCGGTGTACAAACATCGATTGACTGTCAATTTGGTCACAATTTCATAGGGTTATCGACCGTCACGTGGAGGTGAAGTTGGGTGGAGCTTTATCGATGACAAAGGGCGATGGTCGACGTGAGTTTAGGGTTTGAAATGAGGATTTTCAAAGTTTTGGGATTTTTTAAAGTATTTCAAAAAATTTGTTTTTTTAATATAACTTTAAAGTATTTCAAAGTTTTGGGATTTTTCAATTTGGGATTTTTCTTTTGACGACATAATTTAACAGCAGTCATGGTCCGAATATCTAAAATAATAATGTCTGTAACGTTAGTCACATGGATGATTAAAAAAAAACGGTATACTTTGGACACTTATGTTATAATGAAGCCTAAAAGGAAATAATTTTGAGTTAGAATTTTGTTTATACAAGTAACCTGATGGATATGTTTGGCCTACCTAAAGATTTTACTTCCTTTGCACACCATCAAAGTCCTATCATGTTTCCCATGGAGGGGCAGCCCTAGGGTTTACATGGTAGCTTCCATTGCCTTCTACCTTTTGCCTCCCAATCCCCCCACCGGCCCACCCCTTTTCGGTTAGGACCACCACCGATACTGTCACTGTTCCCACACTGCCTTATAGCTTCGTTTAAAACTTGTGGATGAAAAAAAAAGGACTTCATTCATACTTTAAAATTAATCGAAATTGTTATCATACCTTTCAAGATCAATCCAAATATCATTTATCAATAAACGTCACGCTCCATGTGGCATCAAAGACATAACATAATATATAGGAATATTATCTTCATAAATTTTTAACGATTTTTCGTCTAAATCAGAAACCAGAGCGGACCACAGTATGATAATGACCCATGCACGTAGCAATATAGAGAAAAGATAGGATTGTGAATAGATTTGGAAAATCAGTGTGCTTTAATGCCATCCACACCGTTACCATGTATTGATACCTAAAAGTAGTGGCCATCTCAAGCTTAGATATCCCAATCTTTAATACAACTATTTAAGAAACTGTACCAGCACTAATAACGAACATTAAGAGATGGACTCTTTATATGTGTATATATATATAAGGAAAAGTTTGCTAGTTCCTCAAAAGTACTCAATCCCCCTCCCCTATCCTAGTAAACTAACTTTCTATGAAGAGCATGCAACATAATGCAAAAGGCAAATGTATATATCAGAATTTCGAGATATTAGTTCCCATGCCACCGTGATCGTAGAACCAGGAAACCCCGACTCCTAGCGATCTCGAGGCTCCTGGAATCGGCTGAAGCAAGCGGAACGGTTGTGATTAGGCTGGATCCAAGTTGAGAATAGCAGAATGGTCACAGTAGCTGCAAAATGACAGAAATAAGAACAAAGTGTATGAATATATGTATGTATGTATGTAAATCCATCAGTTAGGACAATCATGTCTACTGGACATTGATCCATCACTCTGCCCTAGGAGACTACAAAATCTTGTCCCGAATTTTCAACTTGAATGAGTTAAAACCTAATGGTCCCCATTCCCCATTCCCAAAATGTTTTGACATGTATACCAATTTAAACGTGTGCATCAGTCAAAGCAAATATCTGAATGCTGTAACTTAGCTCGGATGCACAGGGGAACAATTTATGAGCCAATTGGGCCGACATCCATGAACTCAACCAAGCCTTACAGTTCAAAATACATTTTGCATCAAATCACAAAAGATATATATATGATTACATTTTTGCATATGTTTCTCAAAAGGAACTGCAATCTGCAATTCATGTCATCAATATATACCTCTAGAAAACTGTCAGGCTGTACCATTCCATGCCATGGGTGAGTTTTCTGTCTCGGGTCGATAACAAGCACGATGGGCGTCGAATCGAGTCCGTCAAAGGTGCAAACTGTCCTGCCCTCACCTGAATCATCATATACCTATAGATGCAATAGCATGATCAAGGAAAGAAACTAAAGCTTAAAATGTGAATATGACCTAAAAGATCGAAGGTCTATGAAGATAGAAGAGCAAGAAAGAAGGCAACAAAGTACTCAACCTTCACTACCCTAAAAGTTGGACACGGATTAATATGATTTATTCAGCTAAACCCCAAAGCGACACATGTAAAAAAATTTCACAAATTTCAGCAATGTAGAGAATCCTGAATGTTAAAGAAAGCTTGGATTTTATGATATAAACACACAAACAAGAGTGAGAGGATAAAAGGGTACTTGTAAAATTAAAAAAAAAATTATCATATTTAAACATTTTTTTAAATAAGGACACAAAAGAAACAAAACACATATGTACTGAACTTACAACACAAGGCTGCCCCAATGCAATGCGAGAGAGAGAATCCAAACTCCAAAAACAGTAAACTAAAGACACATTTACCAACGAAATCTGATGAAAAGAGTAAAGGTTTGATCTATAATCAGTTTAAAACGTCACTAATGCCATACGTACCTTTATACTTTCTTCATGTTCCCTCCATGCGCTTAACCCCATTTCTTCTTGTTGATGGTGGTGCTGATTAAGGGCTAAATGAATAAAGTATTGAATGATTTATTCATAAACGGTTTGTATATTATTTGTTTATGTTTACCTGTCATTTTTATGTTTATTTAATAAACAACAAACACAAGTATAGATGTGTTCAATACATTTATGTTCACGAACAAGTTTATTTTTCAACTCGGTTTATCTATAACTCATTTTTATTATCTTTTTATATTTTAAAGGTAGTGACTAAATTGAA